TACGTAATATTAAAACGAATATAATAAATATCGAAATTTTGTAATTCGATTCATAATTTGCATATAATAGTATTGATACTTTCATCCCAAAAGTCTGATACAAATAAATGAATGCTTGTTGAAGAATTAGTACCCATTACATATCGAAGTTGTTGATATTAGTATCGATATTTATAATTTCTAACTTTTGAAATTAAATTAATTGAAAATATCGATACTATTATTAGAAAATCCGATTTCTTTTTGAAAATAACGATATTAATAAATTTGAAATACAAATATATCGATATTCATATCATTAATCATCAAATTTTTATGTTTTGAAGATTAAATTCAAATTTTAGTTAATAGTGGGATATCGATACTTCTTACGGAAAGTCTAATACACTTAATTTCGACCGGTTGAGGACAATTTTTTTCTCAAAAAGTAATGACACTTTGTAGCCTTTTTAATTTTGGATGATTTGTATATACATTATTTTTTTTAATGATACATGATACCTCAATTATAAATTGAAGTCATTGTGCTTTTTTACTTCTCATGCTAAATAGTTCAAATACCTTTCTTTCATCTTGTTCTATGAAAACAAACGATCTTCTTCAATTAATATTTTCATAAAATGAAGAAATCAACCAGTAGCTCTTCGAAAAATCTCAACCAATCAACCAACCGCTGATCCAAAAATTTCGAGTAACCAACAAACAACTCGAAAGTAAGTTAACATTCAAAGTTACTTAAATCATTATTTCTGACTATAACTATGTTACAAGTTGTCTAACATAATTGTTTCTTAGTTAAATTGTTGTGATATATGCATATATGTTGGTTGGGTAGAACTATTCAATCAAAGTGTTGTATGTAACATCGAAGCCATTTGTGAGATTGTTTTCTAAAAAACTTATTATTTAACCCTAAAAATCCCTTCCCATTTCTTATATGAAATTATATTTTTCAAATCAAAGGTAATGCATGTCCATCATTGTGAGGCATAAGGTGAAAGATTGGATATGTGAATGTCTTTTTTCTAATGCATGACTCCAACTCGTTAAGCTCGTTGGGATAAAATTAAGATGACAAAAACTGTGTTTTTATGAGGCATAAGGTGGAAGATTGACGATGTGAAGAATGTATTTCTTCCAATAGATGACTTCAACCGTTTCAGCTCATTTTGATATAACTGAGAAGACGATAACAATAAATGTAAAGAAAATAATTCCATGTCATTCACACATTCACCATCCTTCGATCTTCATAGTAAGTGGATTTGTCATTCAATTGATGATAGGACTTGAAAGATTAGGAGATGTAGCTAGATTATATATGTAATGTTTGATTTCTGTTAACCCTGTATGATGAGACATGACATTTTAAGAATGAATCGTTTATTTTGGGATCAATATCTTTTTGCATACATGATTTCTCGTTGATAACGAAATCTATTTTTTTCCTTTAATGAGATATTAAGAATCAATTAAACGATTTTTTTATTAATTTAGTAATATAAGGTCTAAAAATTTTAGATTTAAATAATTATATTCGATACATGTACATTATTAATGATTAATTTTTTAAATAGATAATTATATTATAATTATTTTAATCATTTAATTATTTAACGATAAATGTTTAAATAATTCTGTAAACAAATTCTGGAATCCAATATCTTTTAAGATTAAAAAAATCATTTTAGCCATTAAAATCTTTTTATTTTTTTATGTTAAACAACTACTTTTAAATACTATATTTATTCATATTTAAATGTGCAGCCAAACAACAATGAATAAGCGCGATCGTACGTTGCAGGTTGCAGCGCGTATCCCAAGGGAAGAATATGATAATTCCTTTGATCAGTTTCAGAATTGCAGAATATATTATATTATATTTATTATTTTACTTCAAAATGATTAAACGCTAAATTATTTAAATGTTGAATAATTTATAAATTCTGTATGAATTAGTTCTTAATGTGACATGCTGTTTGATAATGACTCTGAATCATTTAAAATATATTTCTGTGTTGAATCATTCAGCACTATTTTATTGAATCAGTCGACACTATTTTACTAAATCAAACAACACTAATTTATTCACAGATAAAAAACAAACAATTTAAATACTAAAGAGTTCAAAATTTAACATTAAATGATTCTATTTAACCAAACAAACATGCCCTTAATCTCTTATGCATAAACACGTACGCCTCTCTGCCTTTTCCTCTATCCTTTATTTATATTATTTTTTAATACCTTAATAAATTTATATTATATTCCTTACTTGGTATTGTGTATATATTATTTTTTTGCGTCAAATGTACATTTAATATCTCAACTATCACTTTTATTTTGTTTTAGTCATTTAATTATTTGGCTTTCAAAATCATACTTAACGTTACGTTTTGGTTTCATTTCCATCACTCGTTGTTAAAAAAAGTTAAGAAAACTATTAACGTGAAATTAGTGGCGGATCCACAACATTAGGCGTCCACACTAAAATTTGAATTTTCTTCGGCTAGTTATATATTTTACTGATGGTGCTCACCCTAAAATTTTATTCGTAGTGACCAATTCAAAAATTTGTGTTGTTAACATATGTGTGCTCACCTGCAAAAAATATTTATGGATCAATCATCGTGTGAATTTTTTTATTCTTCAACAATGACGTGACATTTTCTTATAGTTACATATTAGTATCACAATTAATTTTTTAATGATAGATGATCAAAATAAAATAAAAATAAACATTGGATATACTTTTTGAAAAATAATTAGGTGACCAAAATGGAGTCAAATGGATAAACTACAAATTTAGCACTTAAATTATCACTTTTATTTTATTTTAATACCTAAACCTTTAATTTTTTTCAAAACTTAACATTGAAACAAGGTACTAAAATGAAACAAAAGTTAAATTTTAGGCATGATTTTAAAAATATTAAAAGTTTACATACCAAAACATAATAAAATTGATAGTTTAAATACTAGATGCATAATTTATCCAGGAAAAAAGTTGAAAAATAGGGTTGTAATTTATCATAATTGTTTTGCATGCAAGTAATTATATTAAGATATAAAACATTTTAATAATAAGCATACGTAATAAATGCGGTTTTGTCCAACAGTCGGCACCGGCTCAACAAAGAAACCAGTGAAAAATAACGTGCTTTATTTGATAAATGAGCCGTCCGGTTTTTTTTTGTTTGGTCTAAATTCCGGCGTTTTTACCTAAACATCATCTTGAAATGAATTAATTAATTATTAAGCACCGTTTCAAATTTTTTTACAGATCTAATACCTATCCATGTCATTGAAAGCTACAGATTATCATTCACTTCTAATTAGAAGGAATATTATATCGATAAAAAATTTTAAAACAATGTCTAATAAGTAATTAATTCGGTATTTTTTTTTGTTTTAAAACGTCCTAAATTCCTTTTACCCAAAATTTCACATTAGGAAATCTATTTCTTTGACGGCCCCACTTACGTGTTCCTTTTCCTAACTACAATCCACCGTTGAATTTGTCCTCGTGATCCCTTTCCCCTATACTAAAACGGACGGTCCAGATCTTTGTCTGCATTTGTCTACTTGACTTTTGTCGTATTTTATTTCATTACACTCCTTTACCAATTTCCACCATTTTGACCATATTTTTTTTTATCACCATACGGATTAAATAATTGTACGATATAACATTAAAATTTTAGAGAGATCGAATTTAAATTTATGAAAATTGAGAGGATTAAAATATATTTTTAATAAAAATACATGTAAAAAATAAAATAAAATATAATTTTAAATTTTAGAAGGATGATTATTTCCACCCACCCTCTCGAGATCCATCCCTATTTATCGGTATTAAATTTATTAATTAACGATTACATTTTATATTTTGTTATTCGATAATATAATAAACATATAAAATAATACATAAATTTTTAGGAGAGAAAAAAAGAAAGGGATATATTTCTTCGAGAATATGTGACCCTTTCCCTTCTTGAAATAAAATTTTAATCTCTTCATTCTCTTCATTATCACAGTTAAGATACATTAATTGTGATTCTTCGTGTGAATTAGGGGGAAAACGGCTAATGATTGACATAATTTATTTATTATTATCAATAAAATTATTAATAAATTGTTTTATTTGTTTTATTGTGTAATATATACTATTTTGGGTTAATTATGTAATATGTCTAATTTTCTACTTTGTATTTTCTTGAATTGTACATATAAAAAATGAAAATTTGGTACTTGAAATACAATTCGGCGACTTGGACTTCAAGTTACCCTTATTTAAGGGCACCTAATCAGCTAACGTTAGTCCATGTCCTTAAGGAAGGGCAAAACTGTGATTTTGGAAAACATGCAAACGAGAAGAAAATGGGTACTAGCCGTATTCTTTAATGGCAGAACAGTCAAAAGAGGGTGCCCAAAATTTTGTCCCTTTCCCCTTGTTGTGGAAACATACAATTATACAAACCAGTCGCAAGAAAATTATATTATAGGGTAAAATCAATATTTAGTCATATTATTATCATATTAGTTTCATTTTGATCACTCAATTATTTTTTTTCAAAATCATGTCTAACGCTATATTTTAATTCCTTTTTAATCACCCATAATTAAAAATAAATAGAATTGTTAAGTTGGAATTTTCTTTGTTTTCTCAATGATGACATGATGTAATTTTAGATATATTTTCTAAAAGAACATTTAGATGATTAAAACACAACCTAAATGATAGTTGGGACTAAATGTATAATTTATCCTATATTATAATTATGAAAGGTGCCTTTTTGTGATCATGACGACGTTGGCAGTATTACAGTTCAAGAGAATAAAAAATAAAAAATAAAAAAACGTAGGTGCTGTAACAGAGGTCAAAGTAAAACAGTTTGGGTTAGGGGTAATGATTTAACGAGGGAAGTGAATCAGAAACTCGTGATGGTATTTTCATTTCTTTTTTATTTATGTATCTCTGAAAGTGCTCAGAGTTTATTATTATTGGTTTGGTTTAGGGTATAGAAACAGAACAAAGTCAGCAGCAGGCAAGGTATAATCAGTGTTCCTTAAGGAATTTGCAGCTTCGTCTTTTCATTTTCTCGTGATCTTCCTCTTCTCTCTTTCTTTGGGGTTGTTTTTGTGGATATATATATTTTACTCCTTGGCTTCTCTGGGGTGTTAAAAATAGCATGAAACCCTGAAAGATTGTTTTTTCTTTTTCCTTCAAAGATCGAGTCTTGGTGAAAGGAGACACTTTGGGATTTCAGGGTTTTGTTGAAAGAAGGGATCTTTGGGGTGAAAGAAAAAATGGGTAGTTTTGGGAGGAGTGGTGCAGTGAGGCAGTATATAAGATCAAAGGTGCCTCGTTTGAGATGGACACCTGAGCTTCACCAATGTTTCGTTAATGCCATTGAAAGGCTTGGCGGCCACCACAGTAAGCTCATCTTTCATTCTTCTTCTTATTCTCTGTGATTGTTCATCTTTTTTTAATTATAATGGCTTCTTTGTATGTTTCTTTAGAAGCTACGCCGAAACTTGTTCTTCAACTGATGGATGTGAAAGGGCTCACCATTTCACACGTGAAAAGCCACCTTCAGGTACTTCATCTTCTACCTTTTGTTTTTTGTCTTCCTCTTGTCTTCGTGCCCTAAAAATTCCTCTCTTTTTTTCACTTATTCCCCAGATGTATCGGAGCATGAGAAGTGATCTTGGCAGAGAAGGTAAAAGCTTTCTTCTTGTATGTATTTTCCATTTTATGTGACACTTTCCTCTAATGGCTGTCTTTTTGGTGTTGAAAGTCAAAGAGCTTACTTGCCATGTTTCAGTTCATTTATTATCATCTCTTCCTTTCTTATTCACTTGATACCAAAATAGATGATAACATGAATTAACTTGTTTACTTTGTAAATCTTCTACTATTGGTATGTCTTGAGAAATCCATCTGTTAATTTCTCAATGTTTCCTGCAACAAATTCAACCATAGAAAATGACGGCCCCCTTTTACTTGTTTTTTTTCTTTAAAAAATTTCCCAACATGAATAATGCATGCATGTGAATGACAGATCGGAGTTCAACCCATCAAAGAAGACAGTGTGTAGAGAACCATGATGGATGTGTTGATGAAGTAAATGATCATATGGGGTTTCACTCAGCTTCAAAGACCACTGAAGAACAAGAAGAAGAATCAGATTCTCATCGCTGTTCACTCCGTCGTTCAAAAAGGTCAGTTTTTGTGTAGTCAGACAGTGCAAGAAGCAAACAAAACCTAATTCTTTTTGTTTGATGTCTTGTCTTTCTCTTATTACCTCAGGGCTAGAATGGAGAGCACCAGGAGTACAATCACTGACGAGACAATGTCAATTCCGTACAGCTTTGATGATCATCTTCACACCATGGGAATAAAGCAGCCGCTGCCATTTTCTTTCAGATATTCAGTAGAACAACCTAATTACCATAAGGTAACACTAAACCAAAACCTACATCTCCCCTATCTCACTGCCACTTTTCTTTTTTGCCAGCTTTGAGTGTAATGTTGGTTTTGGTGTCAAACCAGCTAAAATGGACCTAAAATTCTGAAAATTTTAAATTATAATGTATTTTAGATAATTTTTTGTATTTTTTATTGAAAATCTTGTGAATGTGTTTACAACAAAGTCTAGTTACATAGTGTGTTTCACTTTGGATGATGCAAAGAACTTTAGGGTACATTAGGCATAAGGGGGATTGAAAAATTGTCTTTTACCTTTTTTCACTTTTACCTTTTATGGGTTTCACTTGCTTCTGATCATAGAAATCAAATGAATTAAACTTGGAATTGGGGATGGGACCAGTGTCCATGAAAAAGTTGTTCTTACATTCTGTGGTCCACTGTGACTCTAGTGAGTAGGGGACCTTTCTGGGGGTTGGCCAGAATGGAGATTCAAAATGAACCTTTAGTGCATTGGACCAGAAGTTTGCTTTTTTGAATTTCATGCTTCTCTTCCCCACCAGTTCCATCTGATTCCGCTGTAGCTTTTCTCCCAACTGTGCCTTTTCACTTGTTCTTAGATACTTTTTTTTAAGTAATTACTGTTATGGTAGTTTTACTACTTATCTGATCCATGTTGTGTTAGAAAATGTTTCCAATCTGTGCATGGACTGTGGTCTACTAGGGTACCAACATTTGATGTTACTTAAATGTCTTAGGTTGGCAAGGTAGGAGTAGAACACGAAGACGAACAAGACGGTGAACACGTCAAACTGAACGTAAAGAGATCGTGCATTCAACACGATAAGGAGGAAGAAGAAGAAGGATGTGAATTATCGTTGTCACTGTCGCTGCAACACCTGCCATCCTCACAGAGAAGTAATACATCTTGTACAAGCGAGATGAGCAGCAGCAAGGGGTTCTCGTCATCATCCTACTCTAATTATAAAGACCGCTCCATCCCACGTAGTCTTAACTTAGATCTTTCCATTGCTCTTTGTGGCAACTAATCTTCATTGCTGTCCCCCTTAGCTATAAATATATGAAATTATGAATATTTCGTTTTTGGTTTAGAACTTGAGACTCTGAATTCGACATGAACTTTCATATGATCATATCTTTCAATATGTGAAGAATGAATCTAAGAGAAGAAAAAGAATTCTTCCTCTAGTTCTTTCTTAATTAAGATTATGAAAGGTTATATCTTTTTTAATACAATGTGTAGTCTATTTAGTTTTTTCTGCTGTTGCGATAATACCACTCTTTTTATGTTAAAATTTATTATTTGATATATGGATTAGTATTTATTATATTATTATTTAATATTTAAATAAATAATTAGTAATACAAAATAAATGGAAAACTTGTGGGGCAAATAAAGCTTAAAAGAAGAACAAGAGACCAAATAAGGAAATGAAGAAGGGTGAAAATTTAGGCAACATAGTAAGTATTGGTCAATTTTTTTTATAAAAATTATTCTCTTAAAAAATAATAGAAAATAACTACTTTAATTAATATGATTTTAAATCTAAACTTAATATAAATCAAGTTATACATATTTTAATATTAAAATTTCTTAAATTTAAATTTTAATAAATATTTGAAATACCAAATGATTAATACTTAAAATTATTTAAATATTATGATTTTCAATATTATTAAACATAATCATCAATATTTTGGTAATATAATAAAATAATTAATAATAATACTAATCATTATTTTGATAAAAATATTTCATAATATTATGCTATTTTTATTTGAAAATAAGAAACTTTTTTATGTAACTATTATTAAAATGATAGTGAAGTTATTATGTGTTTTCTTTTTGATAAAAAATATAAGTAAATTATATTAATTAACAATTCATTCAAATCACTACAAATTGAATTATACTAAAATACACATGACTAGAACTGTAAATGAGACGAAACAGATCGTGAACTACTTGAGATCGACTCAATCAAGGCTCGATAAATACTCGGATCGAATGGACTCGACTCAAGTTCTTAACGAACCAAAACGTACTTGATACTCAATTCAGAAAGCTCATGAGCAGCTCGAAAATATAATATATTAAGATTTTATTTTTTAAAATAAATTATTAATAATATTAACATTTATTAATAATATATTAAGATTTTTTTCCATTTTGAGTATTTTCAAATTGTTCATGAGCTTCAGTTCAGAGTTTCATGTTGAGTCGAGCTCTATTTTAAAGTTTTCAAGTCAAGTCGAACTCAGCAATACTAGAACTCGACTCAGCTAGTTTACACCCCTACACATGACATGAGATTTAAACCAAAACCAAATTTGAACAAAACCCACATATTTTCTAAATTAATCAAAATGGTAAACATTTTATCAAAAAAAATGGTAAACTGAATTTCTCATATCTATTAAACCTAAAGTAAAACAAAATTTCTGGGTAAATCAGTTCGGATTATGCTACCTTGGATTAGCAAATCATAACATAAAAAATAATGTTACAAGTTCCAAACTCCCTAACCAGTGGATGAAGGTTGCAAGCCAACCAGTAGACATGCTTTAACTTCCCTTCTTCCCAATTTTATCCCCAACCAGTGGCTTAATGCAGAGTTTTGGCTTAGTACTAACAAGGTTTAGGGGTAGAGCTGACACGCCAACCACTAGCGATCCGTTGGGCACTCCGGACAGAGGAAACAACTCTACGAGAATAGATAGCTGAAAGATTTGCTATTGCAGTTAGGCAAACGTCGGGGTAGAAAATTTAAGACCATTTACAAGCTGTATAACATATTCGTACCTCTGGAGATTTCAGATCCACAACTGAATCTGGAACATTGGCTTTAACAGCGGCGGCAACAACGCTGAAGCATTTGTTGCGGTCCAATAATACAGACATATCAGAATTCTTTGAACCATCTTTTGGATTCTTCAACTGGCTCTCGTCAGTTCCTCTTCTGTTAAATCCAACTGCAAACTAGAGATAAAAACAATGCTTTACACTTGCATAACTTCGTATTAGAAGAAATGTTCCATAAGCCTCTTAGGTAACATACTGCAAGCATAAAAGCTAAAAACTAAAGCTCAAACCTTTAGAGGTGATGTTAATTTGTTTCCTTTGTCATTCACATATTGTTGAACGAGTTTCGACACAACTGCATGCAGCTCCTTCTCACTCAAGGTACATGTAGCTTGGATAGGGAAGATTCGATGACACCAACTGCACCAATGAAATGCCATTTCACCCAAAATTCAGTAAATATGATAGAATACTGAAGTGAAAAAGAAATGTATATGAATGATAATGCAAGTATGGAAAAGATATACTAAAGAATGTATGTTCTTATGCGATAATATCCATTTTAAGTCCTGGAGCAGCTTATAAAGGGCTTAGGAGTCGGCTATCCTAACAATATTCTCAGAAGAGATCTCTTTGTTTCATTGGAAGATGATTCAGATAGATCACAGTTTTGGGAAAAAAGAGACCATGGGAAAGAATTATAAACACGTCTAAAGACGAAAATAAATATAAACTCGAGGATATCTGTAACAAACTTACAGCGGTGACTTTAAACTACCAGATCCCAGATCACAAAAGATCTTTGAGACAACATCAATTGTGTCTAAGGAGTTCTCCACAGGGAGGGTAAGCAGAAGCAAGCCGCTCCTTGTTAGCTTAACTAGTGAAAGAGCAAGCTCTGGTGCTTCACTTTTATCCGTATTTGCAGAGATGGAACTGCCATCTTTTGGATTTCCACCTACCACAATGAGATACTATCAATAAATTTAGAATCCAGGGCCTAAACTAAATTGAACTGAATGTCAAAGTCCCATTTTTTAAGGCCTGGAAAGTACCCACCTGCATCATCAGTGATCTCCGGGCTGTCAACAGTCTTGCTAATAATCTGATCAATTTCTTCAGTACATATTTTCCTTCTCTTAGCATCAACATTTGCATCAGAGGTTCCTGAACTTCCAGAGGTTTCACCGTTGAAGGGACCAACGTACTGGCAAAATATTCAAACAATTAGCAAGCATTAGCATTGACAATAACAGTACATCTCTCCAATATGCAGAAACCTGTTTCCATGAAACCTCAAAAGAAACAAAGTGCAGATGCAATTTATCCATTAAACTCTCTTTTCTAATAGAGTAACTGAAGAGAATGAATTCAAAAGTGATATACACTCTACATGATCAAAGGCACCTATTCAGTGTTTTGGCATCGTTGTTTAGAAGCAGAAAACAACACCGCAATCAATTAACGTCATGTAAAAAACAAAATCTATTCATTTTTCAATTATGATTTATTAAGCTTATTTAAACATATGGAAAGTTAAAGCAAACAAAGATTCATCACTTAAGTAACCAACACTTAGCTCTCAAATGGAGAACTTTAATTGATTCATGTTTCTTTCTACTATTGAATACCCAAGCTTTTGTCTTTCTTCTTCTTCTCTCGAATACCATTCAAAGTTCCAGGACATGGTTCAATGAAATCAACAACTAGCAATGTCTTAAATACGAAAGGATGAGACCTTTGAAAGGATAGACATGGCTTCTTTCGTAGCGCTCTTCTCCCTCTCTGGTAACAAGAGAAACGAAAATATCAAAACCCATTTCCAAATTTAGGGGAAAAAGAGGATACAGGAGAAAATAAGTGAAAGGGACAGGAGAAGTACTGATAGTGCAAGTGATGAGAAAAGCAGAGTGAGAGCGTTGAAGCAAAGAAGAAGGAGCCTTGTAATCGAAGCGAGGGATGCTTATGACTTTGGCGTGTTGCTCCCATGGAGTCATTGGGCTTTCGCCCTCTTCTCCCGCCTTCTTCGATTCCATTTCTGTTCCTTTCTTTCTTCTTCTTTTTCTTCTTCACCTATTTACTATTGCTCTGAAAAATCCCTCTTAAAAATTGAAACCCTACGTTCTCTCATCCAAATTAGGGGAAGAGGGTTAAAAAATAAAGGGTGAGCTGTACATAGGATCGGTTAATTATTGTCCTTTTTTTATTTTACGTATTTAAACCTTATTATTTATATATTTTATTAATTTAATTATAATTTTAAATTAACTCAATATATTTAATCTTTCAATTACAGGTAATGTGTTATAAATGATGTGTCATGACACATGTCACGACATGATGACATGAGAGAATTTTTTAAATTTTATTTATACTTAGTTAAAGGGGTTAGCATGCTTCTACCATATATGACTAAAATCTTACAAAATATGGTATTTATCTTATATTATAAGCAATGCTAAAAACTTAAAACAAAATTATTAATAAAAGGATTCAAATCTAGATCTATTAGTGATTATAGAATTACTTTAATCGTTTATGTAACGCCCAAAATCTCAGATTTGTGGTTTTGAACTAAATCGAGTGTTTAGAATAAGTTCTTTAGTCTTGTGGGAAGCCTTGACTCAAATTGAGTTGGATTGGGCTTGGGATGGGCCCAACTTGTGATAAAAAGGATATTTTTAAATTGATACCAAAGCTTGAAGGATCAAGGGAGTGATTATTCCATCTTTTGTTTCAAAGGTTGAATATTCTTAATTGAAATGAGGTCACATAGCTGGGCTCCTCTTTTTCTTCACTTCCCTTTGTCTTCTAGTTATCTACATCTTATTCATTCTCTTCAAGAGGTATAACAAAAAGGTGGTAACTTTGTAGCATTTTAAACCTAGTCTGAAAATCTCCAGTGAGAGAAGTTAAAGAAAGCTCCAAGAGCAAGGAAAAGGAAAAGCTAGCACTTGATTGAACTTTGGGTGTTTCCATCAACTTAGAATCCAAGATAACACATTTTTAACTCATCTTTACCACGTGTTGATCACTAAATGTGTTGGTTTGTTTGCATGAGTTTATGAAGCATATAACCACATTCATGATAGGTTACAACTTATGGTTTTTTTCAACATGAATATTTCCAATATAATGACCCCTCTTAACATATATAAGACTCAAATAATAGTTGGGTACCTTAGTGGGGATTTTAGGGAAAGTTGGATAGTATTTTCGTGGTCAAAGCAAAGCATTTTTTGGCTTAGGTATTGGTACTGAATGAAGAGTACTGATATTGTTCTTTAGATATCCTAAAACAGGGGTTTTTGGCTAGGAGTATCGATACATGTTCATTGGGTATCGATATTATTCGTTGGGTATTGATACTCAAGGATGGAGTATCGATACTAGTTTTAGATTTTAAATTTCAGTAGACTATTTTGGTATCGATACTCAACAGAGTATCGATACTATAGGAAGAATATTGATACCCTAAGTAGGGATATCAATATTAGATTAATTTTCAAAATATCAAATATAATTTTGGTATCAATACCCAAGATTATATCGATACCCTAGTTTAGAAGTAGCAATACTCTATTTAAGGGTATCGATGTTGTCCAGTTCCTCAGATTCCAGTAGCTACTTTTGGTATCGGTGCTCAGGGTGAATATTGATATTCAAGGGTCAATATCGATACTAAAGAATTTAGTAGCATCGATACCAGCATATTTGTAACACCCCAACCCATACCTGACCCGGATACGAGTTCGAGATGTCACATTGACTTTTTAAAACAATATTCTTAACAAAATACAGATCAATTGGACTTATATTAAGAAAATATGATAATATAAGTCCAATTGATCTGTATTTTGTTAAGAATATTGTTTTAAAAAGTCAATGTGACATCTCAGACTCGTATCCGGGTCGGGTATGGGTTGGAGTGTTACATTTAATGATATCAGAGCTACGGTTTAGCCGATTCTAGGCTAAAAACGAAGTCAAAAGTGTTTTAAAAAGTATACATGCCAACACAAAGTGAAAAATTTTCTAATCTGATAGTGTAAGGAGTGTACTGTCTTGTTAATAGAGTATTGTTATGTTATATTAGATGTATGATCATGAGAGCTTCCAAAGTGAAGCACAAGGTGATAGACCTGAAGGTAATAGCAATTCACTTGCCCTGGCCAGACAAGGAGAAGAGCGAACACCTCAGGGTGTGCCTGTATAAGATTAGATAATGTTTTTCATGATGTTGAAGGATATTCTGATGTATTTTCAATTTTATACTTCTTTAATTCATAGAGTGAATGTATCGAAAAAGTTAAAAGAGTTAAGAGCACCCGAGCTCATGAGTGAATGTAGGGAAGGTTCTGTTGTTACAGACCTTTGGATAAATGAAATGAAGATAATGTTAGAAGGTTTCCATTTCTCCAAAGTGGAGAAGTTAAATTGAGAAACTTCGTTACTACTTGGGCAGGCTAAAGTATAGTAGACAAATGTCACCATAAGAATATTAAAAGATCAAGTGATGTGGTTATTATTTGTATAAGAGTTTAGGAATACGTACATTGATGACCAGTTTATAAGACAAATGAAGCTAGAATATACGAGCTTGAAGAAAGGGAATTACACGTGCATGTGTATGAGTGTAAGTTTAATAAGTTAAGCAGATTTATTGCTGAGTTGATTCTGATTAAGAATGATAAGAAGGATATATGTGATTGATTATTTAGGGCTTGCGCCTTAAATTAAAAGAGTGTTACTGGTTTTGAATTTGTTCTCATTTCAAGAAATGGTTAATCGCGTTAAAGCTCTAGAGAGAGCTCAGAATGAAAGGATTGGAGAACAAAAATCTAAGATGATCAAGAAAATTAGTGCTTCATAAAGTTAAGCACCATCAAAGAAAGGTAGAGATTCTGGTTTTCAACTTTAAACCAGATATTAATTAATTGTATTCTCCGCCAGGGAATAAAGCTAATCAATTCAGACGGATTGAAATTATAGTATTAGAGGAACTTTATCGTTCTGAAATAGAATAGTTTCTTTACGGCATGGACAAGATAAAGTAGAGGGGATGGATGTTAATTGGAGATTATTAAAAGACCAAGGAATGTAAATATTATTTTGGAATAGTTTAAGAATATGTATATCAGTGATCAGTTATAAGACAAAGGTAAATGAAATGGTTGAATTCGAAGCAAAGGAATTGTATTATGGATAAGTGAGAATAAAGGTTTGATAAGTGAAGGAAATAGAGGATGAATTATTTTGATTGGAAAGAATATATATGGATAATTTGATGAAGGTTTACGTTTTGATTGAAAGAAATAAGTTGAACAACAAAGTAGTGTGCTAGTGGTGTATTCTGATTATGTAAAGGTAATATGGCTAAGAAGATAAGGATTTGTGTATTCAAAGGAAGTTAAAGCTAAGTATAAGTGATATGAAAAAAGTATGAGAGTATAAGAGAAAGAAATGAAAAGGATTGAGTTTAAAGGATCAGATGTGATAAAGACTATATGGAAGTGTAGATTATGAGTTCGATATAGAAGTAAAGAAAAGTGTGGAAGGTGATGTGAAAAGATTGTTTGATTTTTAAAGTATATGTTTAATCACATTTGAAGAAGATTTAAGGTTGTGTTCTTGGTTAAATGATAATGGAATAAGAGTATGGTTACTGTTATAAGGTAATTAGAGATGGATTTATGATGTTGAGGGATGAAAATAGATGTCACTAATTTTATGATAAGTGGCATGATATGAATGTATAAAGGAAAAAGGTAGTTGAAAAACTAAAGGATTGAAAAGTAAGTTTTCTGATGATAACAAGAAAGAATGAGTAAGGGAATCAACATGAGAACATTAGAAGATATGTTCTTATCAAGATGTGCAGTGAAAATTCGAGGACGAATTTTCTTAAGGGGGAGATTTGTAACATCCCAAAAAGCGGGCTAGTGACCAAAATGCAAATTTTGAAAGTTTGATGGTCAAAGTAGAAAATTTGGGAAAATTTTTAAAGATATAAGTGATATTTTTCCAAAAAAGATTTTATTCCATAAATGGATGTATTTAGTGACCAAATTATAAATTTGATAAAGATTAGTGACCAAAGTATAAACTTTGAAAAGTTCAAGGACCAAAATGTAATTTTATAAAGTTACAAATGGGTCACGAAAATAAGGAAATAAATATATTATTTTCCATTTTCAAATGTTGGAAAATAATATTTAATGGTTTAATTCAATATTTAGTTTGGATTGTTGGATTAAAGTGATTGAATTGTAAGTTTTAGAAATTTCAAGGGCAAAATGGTAAAGAGGGAAAATAGTTTGGCTATATTTGACTATTGGAAGATGATAAGGTTATTGTAGCTTGATATTAATGTAAATATCAAGTTCGTTAAGGGTAAATTGGTATAAATATTTTGATTTTAAGGGTAAAGTGATCATTTGACATTTAATGAATTTTATATTCATTATTAATTAAGAAAGATGAAGAAATATCATATGATTTCTTCATCTTCTCCAGCAGCAAACGTGAGCTCCTCCCAAGGTAAGAAAGAAATTTTATTTTCAATTTTGAGCTAATTCCTTTAGAATTCGAGTTATGTCGTGAAATAGGAAAGTGATCTACGTGAAAAACGTTATCATTTGGTATCAATATTTCTTTCTATTCTTGTTGGATTTCAAAGATTCCAAATCTAAGGGTTTATGTTCATGATAAGATTCATGAAATTGAGGATAAATCTTGATGATTTAGATGTTATAGATTTATTTTCAAGCTTGATTCATTGTTAGAACATGTTCAATCTTTCTAGAAATTATTCTTTGAAAATTTGAACATGATGAATTTGAGTGAGAAAAATTATGAAAAATTATATAAGGTCTGGAAATGATGTTGGAAGTATTCTACAAGCTTTTGAAAATCCGAGGACCATTCTGTAAATTCTAAAAAAGTTGGTGGGACTAATTCATAATTTTCAGAAAAGATGTAAATGGTTGTATAATTGTCTAATAGTTGATGTATTATGCTGGAAATTGTTGTTTTGGAGTTAAAATGAGCATTTAGATGTGAAATATGACCATTGAGGAAGTTTGAAAAGATTGGTGATTAAAGTGCAACATTC